AGTTAAATGCTTGATTAACTAAATTCATGAATGATGAAGGGCAAAATAATGAATAAGAGATCCTTTTAGAAGTAAAAAACATGCACAATTTAATATTTTCTTATAAGGTAGATATATTCCTCTCTACCTGAAATTTTTCATAATGCGTTTGATATTGAGTTGATAATACCCGTTTATTTCCTCCGAACTGAGTCCACCATTCGTAAAACCATCGGGAATTAATGTTTTTCATTTCTTTTGAATATTTTATAAACCAAGTGTGGGTGTTTGTTCTAATAAAAATAAAATTATACCAAGCTACTTTATAATCATACCAATTAGATGATCTACAAACCATTTATAGGGGATCAATTTTTTTTTGATTGTGTACTTTTAATATTGTATACTATAAGGATTCTTTTCTTGGATATATGCTTAATTTCTACCGTATCGATATCCGCTAAAATAAAATCATAATACCTCCGAGTCTTTGAAGGCATCTTCCGGATCCACATAATTTTTGTTGGTGTAATAGGTCTTTAGGGAGTCCTAAATTTCAAAAACTCCCACATTGTTTATAAAGTGCAGTAATTGGCAGTACCTAATGACATTGTTAACTTAAACTATTTTTTATTTGAGTAATTTTTCCCTTTAATTTTGAAAAGTGGTAGCTAGATTTGCTTGTGAGTATATCTCTGCAAGTTTTATTACGTAATTGTCTTTTTTTTGGATTAAATTACTTTTATTGATGAGAAAGATGAATTTACTTGATAAACATAATGAAGTCGTTGTTGGTTGAGCTAGTTATATATTATTTTAATGTTGAAGGTATAGTATATTTTTGTAGAAGGAAATGAATGTATATATCTTATGATTTTGTTTGTTCTTCTGCATAAAATGATCTTTTCATTTTTTCTTTTGGTATGAACTTCGGTAATGGGAGCCATCCAGGTCTTATTCCCTGTCTCATTATTTCCCTAAAAAACCTTTTGTTAAAGTTTTTGGAAGGTTTCCTCCCCTTATTTGAAAATAAAAGTTGGATGAGAAAATTTTCCATCTAAAAAATGTATAACTTTTATAAAAAAAAATATATTTAGTTGAATTGTAGTCATTGTTTAGATTATTTGGAAATTGAGTAATTCATAGTGCTATAACAAAGAAGGCAAAGTAAAATCTAGGAGGAGAAGGTCTAATAATTTTTATTGTATAATTTTCGTGGTGTGAAAGTAAATTATTTTTAACATATTTTTATATTTTATGAAATTACTCACCTTTTGACATACTGCTTAGGTAGGGAAATATAAGATTCTTTCCTAGCATACTTGTATGAATTCCATGTATTTGGCAATACAATGCTTTATTTGGGTGGTGAATGAAATACCTAATTTTATTTCTTCATTTATATCCTAGGTTACCATAAAATAATTCATGAAACCAATTCAATCATTGCCTGTGTGACCTATGGAGTTTATAATTTATTTGAAAATTTTCCTCTATTGTAGAAAATCGGATAGTACGTTTATCTAGATACTTATATGGGACTAATCTTCAATAATGCAATTTTGATTTGCGATTGTACCAAATAACGAAATTTTATGAATGAAATACTTTTTATGTATAATTAATGTTATAGGTACTTTTGCGTTCTTATGACTGTAAATGCATTAATTCCTAATTTAGATAGTAGTTCTTCAAGAGACTCTTCTTCTTTTTATTTTTCTCCAGGTTTGAATTTATATATTTCTTGTTCTTTATTATATGGTAGATAATTTAATATTTTATTAGTATCTGTTTCAGTTTCGAGGGTGTTAAGTATTTGCCTAATATCATTTATTTGTAACAATTCTGCATAAATGCTTTCTAAAGTTGTTTCAAATTTAATCGGTTGTTTTAATTTAAATAAATCACTTTTCATATCAAACGGTTTAATAGTTTTGTTATCATCAGATTGTTTATGAAGAATTAAATCCCTTAAGGCAATTAAGCATTTTTTTCTTAAAATCAGGGTCTTTGATATGATCTATCATATCAAATAATATTTTCTTATTACAACTAGTGATAACATTTATGGAGTAATTTTTGTAGGTACAAATTGTACTATCGCATTTTCAAGGGTTTGATGACTTACTATTATCAAACTGCAGCTATGTTTAGTTAATCATCATTGCTAAGATTTTCATCATCGGAAGACTTGTTTTCAATATGTTCTAGAATAGAATATAATTTATTGTTGACTTCTTCTTTTAAGTCAAACATACTAATTTTATCTTTTCTTTTATTAGTGGTCGGGCAATCTTTTTCTTGTATTTTTCCACAGCACCAATACCTTTAAGAATTGTTTGTTTTGAATCTATTTTTACTATAGACATGGTTAGATATTTTGGAACTCTTTTTGTAATGACAGGGTGTTTCTGATTTCTGGTAATTCTCATGGCTCCTTTTAGTTCCTTTAGAAGCCTATTTTAATGGTGCGGCTAGTTTAACATAACTTAAGTCTTGCAAAAAAAATTTCAATTCTATTTGTGATATTTTACTATCTTTCTTTAGTTGATTATTAAGTTTCATATTTGTACATAATTCTAATTCTTTATATTTATAAAACTTATGGGGTCATTATAGGTTAGTTGATTATAATAAATTTTCCTTCAAATCTATCTTTTAATTTTTATCATAACCTTCTCACCAAATAATATTGATAAACTGGTAATAAAATTTTGTTTTCAATAGTTGTGATTGCAGTCTTTTTGAATCATAACTTAATCCACGAAAATATCTTCGTACAACGTAAAGTCATCTAACTTAGTACAATTATATAATAATTTTAAACTTATATCTAGAAATAATTGAGGTTCACCTATAAAGTGTTTAGCTATGCTATAAATTAAGCTACAAGTGGATTCTTCGAAAATTTGATTTTCTATAGTTTTCCCTTTACACTTGGCTTTAGTTATAGGATTAATAGTGGTGGTGTTTATTACCGTTTGCCTATTATCTTCAGTGAGGTAGTTGTCCCACAATTTTTTTTAATGTGTCAGTAAATCCGGTGATAATTAATGTAGCAACCTGTTCATCAAGTAATTCTTTTATTTTATATGACATAATGGTCATAACCATTTCATGTATTTTATTACATATTTGATGTTTCAAAAGTTCATCAATATTTCATTTAGCAATTTCCCTTCAACTATGTGAAGTTTGAGAAAGAAATTTATTTTCTTCGTACTGAATATTCGGAAAGAAAGGTCTATTGTAATAATTTTTTTTATGGAATAATTAGAACCTAAATTATTCATATCATTGTCATTAACTTCGGAAAACATATTTATGTCCTTGGATTTTAATTTTCATTAATTATTCCTATAAGTTCATTATGAATTTCAAGCTTTTGTTCAAAGTTAGGAAATCTGTCTTTAAAAAATTCAAATAATTTAAATATTGGGTGAATTTTTACATTCTTATTTTTATCCTGTAAAAAGAACTTGATTTATCCTTAATATTTGATTTATTATTAACTCCTATGATTTCATTAGACACCACATAAAATAGTTGATTTGCACAATTATTTTATTGTTGTATATTATTTATATCCTTATTTGTTGGATCACCTTTTTTTTTATCTATTATATCCATCTTAAAGGGTGATGCGGTAATTACTTTACCCTCTATTCGTGAAGTAATTTATTCTAATAGGGGAATTGTAGACTCAACTACTTTATGGTTTGTAGCATATGTTTTATTAACAAACATATTTAACGACTCATTTTGGTCGTCTCATTTTCCTCTGCTTCCAAACCATCTAAAAATTTCTATTTTATATTTTAATCTTTTCATATCATTGAACCATTGATCTCTAAAGGTTTCTTTCTAATAAAAATATATTTGTATATAACATTTTTAAATGAATTCTTTTGATAGGTCCATAGTTTGTCTTAATATTTAATAACTAGATGAAATATTTCATAAAATCTAATCATCCATAATGAGTCTCTTACTCCTTTAATTTTAATATCTGTGGGAATTGTAGATTTTATGGGTTTAGAATTCCTAAGTTCATATTCTAGTTTAGGATTTTTTATAATAGAAATCGATCCCCTTTAGTTTTTTTTTATCTATATCTTCTTAGGATATTTCCTCTTCATTATTGGTTAGGGAGAAAGAAGGTAAAAAAAATGACAATCTTCTACTTGAACAAAATTGACTGGAAGATTGGGATCATATAAATTTAAATCTATTGATCCGTCTGGAAAATGAATTACTTGGACAATATTTGAATTTTCTTTTTCAACTTCAGCGTCCGTTACGGATCACAAGTACGAATCATCTTTTGCAATACATCATCCCGTGATATCATCTTTGGGACAATGAAGTTATTATGGTTATGATTTGTTTCAATGATCATGGAAACACTTTTATTTGTTATCATTTTAGCCTTAGGGGCTAAGGTATTTTTCATTATTCTATAATATACACTATATATTATATCTTTTTATCTTGTATTAACCTTATTCATATTTTTAGTGTTAGAATTTAATGTATTGTGTGTACTACTTTTGATAATTGATATCTATTGAATAAGTAGGATAATTATAATACCCTAGATCCAAAAAAGGACAAAAAATTAGTTTTCTAGAAATTGCAGGAGCCCAACAAGAGGGCCACCCATGGCTTGTGAATGTGACCATGGACTGTAGGTGTGTCCCATTGAAGGGAACCCAAAAATGGGTTTAGACAATTGGAACCGCGTCCCAAATCAACTAACGGGGTGTGGTTCTAATGTCTGTGATCGACGATCTGTGGTCCAGACTCCCAAAAGAAAGTTACTGACAACCATCGAGGGGCAGTCGGTCTGCCCTTGGTCAGTTAATTAGTGGATGCGGGTCGTGAACTGACAGTTAAGTTCAGGGGTAGTTGGTATTACCTTATTATTTTATCGCTATACTATGTCATTTTACACTTCACAAAGACCCCCTATATAAGTGATATTTGCCCCCAAATTTCCCAAAAGAAATAATTCTCTCAAAATCACAAAAAGAAATCAAGTTCTTTCTCTCAATAATATCTCTCTCTAGAAAACTTGAAAAAGAAAGATTCAACCTAGGTTTCATGTCAAGTCTCAACTCCTCCATTGAAGATTATCAATTGGCTTGTAGGTATGATGGTTTTACTTCATGGATTCCTTCCATTCACAGAGTTCTCAAATTCCTTTATTTTCGAAGATAGATATCCCCAATTTAATTAAAGGTTTTTTCCTAAGTCATGTTTTTTTGTAAATGTTGATTTGAATTATTTAATTATGATCTTTCATGCATGAGCTGATGAAATAATATGATTTTATAATGATTTCCCATGAACCCATGTAATCCCCGTGTTTTAAAGTTATGATCAAATGTTGTAGTATTTTGATTATAACAGAAGAGTTTTATGAAATCTAGAATATCTTGAGAGAATTAAATGAATTTATGATGAAATCTATATCTAATCCATGTTTTCTAAATGTTGATGATTGAAAGTGGGGTTTGAACCTTGAAAGGTAAATTATGAAATTATGCATGAAATCTGTGTAAATGTTTTACGGATGCTTTGAGTGTGAATTGTAAATAATAATGATGTTGATGTGTTACTGAAAGGATTTTCTCATATACACAAAGAAGCATGATGTGAAAGGTTTTGTCGCATAATAAAGGGTTCTAAGATATAATGGTCTTCTCACCTAATTGAATCAAAGATTAAGAGTTATCCTAATGAGACCTAGATTGGATTAGTTATTCTATTATATATTTCCATGGGAAATGACTTAGGTTGGATTGGAAATATAAAATTCCCTTCCATGGATAGTAAGAACCTGTAAGAAATGATTATTCCGATAGATTTATGCTTAGCATCGACAAGATATTTAGATGAAATCTCTCTCGTTAGTAGAGGTTGGGTTTCTGGAAGTATTCTCCTTATACCTTACCGATGTGCCCCTATAGGAATATTGTATATATAGACATTATCTAGTATATCCTCCTATGCTAGAAGTTATGTTCCTTACCTTGGCAAGTGGGATAATACTTTTTCCTTGTTGGAGATACTGGGGATAATGTTATAGCTCACACGGTCTCTATGTAGGGTAAAAATACATTCCACATTAATAATTAATTAAGGTTATTTAAAAAAGTATTGCATATGTTTTCAAAGATTTTAATCTGGTTATGTTGCATTTACCATGATTTATGACTTATGTATTCTAACCCTTTTATATCATGTTTTAGGTTGGTCATTTGCATATCATGGAATGTCCTCTTTTAAATGATATAAATATCTTATGCATAGATATTATACTTAGTACATTGTTTTGTACTAATACATACTCTTGCCTGTATTTCTAAAAATGTGGGGTTCTATAGTTAGGTTTCTCAATTTCTTAGCTACTGATTGATTTAAAATTCCCGAGCTTAGGTGACTCTTCATGGTACAATGAAAGATTTTCATTTTTTTTAGTTTCCTTATTGTATTTCTAGCTTTGGACATGATGTATGGGTGTAAGATCCCGAAAATGAATTAGGTGAACAAGAGCCTAACATGTTGGTCATGATGGTTTAAGGTCCTTAATAGGTCTATAATGTTGTATTGAGTCAGTGTCTAAGAGTTTAGGTGATTTGGAAGTGAAACGTCAAGGGACGACTAAGACATTCAACGACTAAGTCACCTATGTGCCTCATATGTGGTTTTATGTGTTTATGTATGATTCATAAAGTTATAAGGTCCTTAATTTAGTTAATATAGTGTATATAGGCAGTGTGTCAAGTTTCGTGGAGTTTGGAGTTCAAATGTTCTTGACGTTCGAAAGATTTGCCTTGAAATGACGTGATGTGTCTAGGCATATTTCGTCGAGTTTTACGTGTTCGTTTTGGATAAAATTCACGTGATATGTCCTAAAATTGTATATAATATCATGATTTGGTTGGAAACATGTGGGAAAATATACACAAGGACCATCCAAGGGTCCTTGAGGAAGGACCCAAGTTGGTGCCCAAGACTGCCCAAACCACGGGGGCGATCGATGCCCAGTGGGTCAGTCGACGCCCCGCTGGGGGGTCCATTCATTTGTTACTTAGCCATGGGAGAATATAGGACAACTACCATCCTTAGTCCCAGACCACAGAATAAAAGGACGGTTCGTTGGTCAAAGGACGGGCTATCGTTTGGCAACCGTCTGTGAGGTAGCCCTTGCGTGCAGTTCACTGCCAAGTGAGGGGTGAACTTGTAAATTCACCCCACTTCCGAAAAAGAGTATTGGAGGTTCCTTAAGGGTAATTGAGGTATTTTAACTATGTTTATAAGGCTAAAACACTTAAAGTATTTCATTCTTCAAAATCAAAATCTATAATTTCCTTAGAAATTCCGTAGAACTCCACTGGAGCCAAAATTAAAGGGAGGGATTGAAATTGGAGGTTTGAGTGGAGATTCTTAATACAAATGAAGAATTATCTTCATTTATGTATGCATTTTTACCCGTGAAACTCTATTCATTAAGGAGCCCAACTTTCAAAGATGTTTTCTAAAGTTTTCAAAGTTGAATTGTACAAATTTATGATCTATGCATGGGTTCTTGCATTAATGGTTTTTAAAAATGGATTATAGATTGAATTGTAATTAATTAGATGATTTTGACTAAATTAACCAATGAGCACATGAATTGGATGAACCCTAGTTTTTGACTAAGTTATGGGTTACTTTTTATTGACATAATGTTTATGAATTCTATTGTACATTCCTATGAGTTATCTAATGATGCAAGAATTGTGTTCAATTTATATCTAGGTTGTATTATATTAATAAATATATAGTAAATTTACTTAGTTTCATTTATTATTGTTATAATCGTATTGGATTATTGTTCATGACCATTAGTAAGGGCCTTATGGTGTTGAATTGGTTGATTTAGCATCAAATAGAGGTGTTGAGGATTTAGTGGTGGTACGCTGCCCTATTTACTTTATTTTATGTTAACAAGAATTCAATTTTATTTTTATTGGTATGGTTCACTTATGGTGGTGGTGTTATGTGCTTTACTTACAATTGATGTGGCCTTGTCGGCGTTATTTTAAGTAATATGATGATCATGGACTTTTTGAAAACTACTTGAAGTGTTATGATGATTATGTGAAGTATGATAATGTATCCCTACATGATAAGTAATGTGAAAGTATAGTGACTTCTTCGATTGATATTTCTAGGTGATCATGTTAGACTATTAATGTGGCTTTGTGTGTATTGTATAAGGGTTGATGTATGCTTATCTCTACAAGACTATATGAGTCTATGATGGTCATATTAATGATAATATGATAGTTCATAGGATGTCTTAAAGATTATATGGTTATGTCTATGTGTTTCTAGAAGGACATGTAATATGAGTTAAGGTGAAGTATGTTGTGTCTTGTCTTGGTTGACTTGCGTTCCTCACTTGATGCATGTATGAATGTGAATATTAGATGTATTGACTTAGGATGATAAAGTATCTTAGTCTTGAATATATTTGTGATATATGACCTTAAATGATGTTAAGAGGGTCTTATATGTGAAACCTTGATCCTAGTGGTAAGGTTATGAATGTTGAAGTCGAAATCCCAGATGGTATCCTTCAAAGTAAAGGAATGATAGACATATGGTTGATTTTATGGAACGACATCATATCAAACCTTAGGAAAGTCATGATGAGCGTTTTGTCGCCATTGTGAGGTATACCTAACAGACTTTGCTTTGGTAGGGTAAATGTGATTGGGTTATCAACTCGATATAGAACTCTTTTATATGAACATTAAGTGTAAATTACTCTATCAGAGCAAAGGCTATCAACGAGTGAGTATGGTAAGGGAAGTAGTTCTAGTTAAAGAATGATACTAGATTACAAAACATGCCCTTCATATTCCTTAACCATGTACCTACATGGGATATTTCCAAGTTCTACAATTAGCAAGTAGAACACCCTCATCGAAGTAGGTTAGAACTTCGGATTCCATATGAGTGTTGAGGAATAGTCTTTGAAGTTCTCTATGGTATCTAGATATTCCCCCTCCCCTGTATCAAATCCGAGGGATGAGATGAGTTATTTTGTGACGGGTGTCGCTGATCTAGTGAAGGAGGAATGCCGTACGCCGATGTTACATGATGATGTGACCCCAACTAGACTCGTGGTGTATGCCCAATCAGTTGAAGAGTCTAAACTTAAAAGGATGTCTAGAAACTTAAAAAGAGGTAGTTCTAGTGATCAAGATCAAACTAGGTTCCAAAAGAGGTCTGAAACTCAAGAAAAACCTAGGAGTGCTAAGGTGAAATTGGAGAAAGGAGGTGTTTCTAGAAATGGATAACCTACATGTGTTGCTTATGGAAAGAGGCATTATGGAGAGTGTCTAAGGGGTACCGAGAGTTTCTATGGTTGTGATAAGGAAGGACACAATGTGAAAGATTGTCCTAGCATTGCTTCTAGAGGAAGAAAGAGTAAGAAAGATGCTCCTAATGTTCCAAAGGATGATGCTCCATATAAGAAGAGTTTCTATGCACTTCGGATTATAGGAGAGAAGCCGGATGGTGGTGAAGATGATGAGGGTATGTCCTTGCCTTTCTATTTTAAGTGATATGAGTTCCTTATAAGTGGGTGAGTATTGTTAGTAGATGGGATATAAAGTCATAGAAGCATGTTGCATGATATTTAGGAGCTTTGTTGAAATTGAATTTCATTAAATTTTTGCATTGTGTATTTTATGAAGTTATGATTATGTTGTATCACGTGTTTATATGATGTTACCTTGCATATTAGCGTGTTTCCATCATGAATTGCCTAAAAGTTGCAATTTTGAAAAAGTTGCATAAAATCACTGTAAGGGCTAATATATAAGTATAATATTGAATGTAAAATGAGTTTTTCTTATTTGAAATAAAGCATGTGTGTTTTGTAGCATGATGAGTTATATAATGTCTTCTAGTGTCTTGTTGTGTTGTGAATTTCTAGATAATGTGAAATTGATGTTTTATTCTTTATTATGTGTTACGTGGTATGGTTAAGAGCTGCTAATTGTATCTCTATTCTTGAAAGTGTTCAGATAGTGGCAAGTGTCATTCGATGACGAATGTTGTCCAAATAGGGAAAATGTAAGATCGTTGA